TAGGAAGTGCAGAGATAAGGCCCTGGGGTAAGCTGCTGTTCTCTAGGGGCACAGGACACTTCCAAACCTTGTGGCTCAAGGTATGCTTTAGAACACAGAACCAGAAAGAAAGAAATAGAAAGAAGGGGGGCAGCACTGACACACAGACTCCACCCCCAGCCCATGTGACTCCAGGAGGCGTCCTCCTCTGGGAGGAGGCTAAGGAAGAAAAGCAGAGCAAACACCAGAGCAGCCAGGCTTGGCAGCAGCCTGACAGACAAACCTCCTGTCCAGAGGAAGAGCCTAGGCCACAGCAGAGACCATGGAGCTCTCCTCAACCCCTCTCCACAAAGGGCAGCTACCCTGGAGGGGACTCCTGCTGACAGGTGAGGAGACATTCCTCAGGGGTGTGGACAGTAGAGGAGCTCAGAGACTGGATGGGGTCTTCTGGGAGGGGGACTGTCCTGAGAGGAGACATCTGGCTTCTGCTTGAAGCCTGAGAGCAAAAGGAAGCTCATAGTGAATGTGAATTGGTAAGTGGGGAGGAAAACCTCAGGGGTTCCCCACAGTAAGTTTATCAGCACTGGCCTCTGTACCCTGAAGACTGACTTCCACAAATGTGTCAGGGTAACTCTCTAAGTGAAACTCAAACTGGGGCCAGTAAACATGGCCAATTCATACATATGACCCTGAGGAATCTGCACATAAACCCCAGGCTCTGGGACAGTGATTTGCTCACAGGAGTCTGAACCTGTTCCAGGCAGTGAGGTTTAAATAAAAATCAAACCAGTTCTCCTCACAGAGTCCTGGTGCTATGAAGCAGGAAGACAGAGCAACAAGGACATCTAGAAGGTGGGGTTGGGATTGACAAGGACTTCAGAAGAAACAGAGCTGGGAAGTCAGAAAATGAAGGCTGGAGTCTTTAGAGGAGGAGGTCAGAGAAGACATGCCTACACTCACCAAAGATTCTGAGTGTGAACAGGGATCTGAGGGAGTGAGGGGTGAGCTGTGCAGACACCCAAGAAAACAGTTTCATTCACTTGGAAAGATTCAGGGGTACTGAGATATGGGGGTGATGATGCTGACCTCCCCCCAATAGGACACGCACACCAAGGCTGAGAGTTGAACACACCCAGGTCTCAATTTCTACCAAATGCAAAGATCTAATATTGATAGATTTTTCTCTCTTCCTTCTTAGCCTCACTTTTGATCTACTGGAGCTCTCCCACCACGGCCAACGTCACTGTGGAACCAGTTCCGCCCCATGTTGCTGAAGGGGCGAATGTTCTTCTACTTGTCCACAATCTGTCAGAGACACCCCAAGTCTTTTACTGGCACAAGGGAGAAAATCCGGATAACAGTAATGAAATTGCACGATTTATAACGTCAGATAATGTAAATACAGCAGGGCCTGCATACAGTGGCAGAGAGACAATATACCCCAATGGATCCCTGCTCTTCCAGAACGTCACTCAGAAAGACACTGGAGCCTACATGTTGCGAATGCTAATGCAAAGCTATGATGATAAGAAAGTATCCGTGCAGTTCCATGTCCACCGTAAGTAATTCTCTGTAACCTCTGGGTCATGGGTAGACTTAATCCTACTTCACACATAGAATTGTCAGTGCTGGATGACTCTGTGTTATGGTCCCCACATTGTGGTTCATCATTTAGTAAAGGACACGGAGTGGAGGAAACAGCAATAAATCAGGATCCCTAACTTGAATCCACCCTCTGAGAGAGAAGGTGAGGTAACTCAGCCCAGGCATCTCAGAATCTGCCCAGGGTCTTAGATGCTCATCATGAACATGGCCTTAAGAAAGACTCTTCAGGACACAGGCAGGGCCTGGCTGAGAAAACCATGAAATTCTCACAGAGACATGAATACCTGGAGCTTTGCTCCAGACCTCCATCCCAGACTGGACCAGGAATCCTGAGAAGCTTGTAGACTGGGTTTGAATTTGACCTCCTGTTGGAACTGACAGGGGACAATGATTGATTGTAGGCTGGTAGTCTGCTGACCGTCAACCTGTGAGAGCCATGTCTGAGACAGATCACGTGGGCATCTCCTCCTGAGACTCATTATGCTCAGCATAGGTGGAGGGGTATGAAAGGCAACCAGCCGGGTGTCCTGATGGTCTTCTGAGTCCTCAAAGGAAGGCGGAGAGCCCTAAAGAGATGGGAGAAAAGTGTACAAATGGCAGGTCCTTGCCTCTGGGGGTTCAGCCCTGGGATTATTACCAGCAGGCAAATAGTAAGAGACACTGCTTGGTGGAAGGTCAGGTCATTGCTCACATTTCAGGTGAACTTGTAGGCAATGATCATTTACCCTGTGCCCTATTCTAGGGAAACTGAGACAGGAAACACAGTCGGTGAGTCAGGGTCACACAGGCCATGGGTGGCACAAGCTATCTGTCCACAGCCACATCTCCAGCCTCCCCACCATGGAGACTCTATTAGGTGCCCCTGAGTCTTATAGTTCATTTCCTAGACTCGGGCTTCTTTTATGATTCCCTGATTCATGTCAATCAACATCAAACTCCTGACAAGAATGGCCCATCTGAAGCCCAGCTTGACCTGAATGGCAACCAGATCCTGATCTGTGTGGGATCTCTGACGGGCTGTCAGGTTCTCAGGGAAGCTCAATGTGAAGACTAATCATGACCTATCTGTAGGAGAGCCCTGAGCAGCAAAGGCTTGGAGGGCGCTGGTCCTCACTGAGCAGGGGAGATCAGGGCAGCTGGAGGGACTTACACATTGTGTCCCAAGACATGCAATGCATCAGTGAGGACCAGGAGATAACATGAGGTCTCTGATTCCAAGTCTCGAGTCTGTCCATCACCACACACTGCAGCTCAATTCCCTCCTGGGAAAGCCCTTGCTTCTCCCATACACAACACAGGAGACCCCATTGTTTCTGAGAGCTCAGCTACTCCATCTGCCTGTAATTTGCTTCCTGCATGATTCTTTAAGGATCTGGGTTTGTGGGGAGCTAAGAGACCATCTCAGAATAATCAGAATCTGGAGTAGTGCAGAAATCTGGNGTTCTCTAAACAATAATTGTAGCTATAAAACTGTAGAGAGTGAAGGCTGTCCAAAGTATGCTTACATCATCATAATCGGGGAATTTTGGAGAACTCCTGGGAATGACGACTTACTGGCCCTGAATCTGGAAAACTAACACTCCAGGAATTACCAACACTGAGAAGCTTGCACGATATGATTTGCTTTGATTTTTATTATATTTTATGTAATAGTTCTAAAATGTGGTTACTGGGTGGATGAATGTTTCCCTTTAAAACTTAAAAGTCATAACAAAACTATTTTAGAGTGAGCAAAGGCCTTGGGTATTCCTGTCCCTGAACAAGATGTACAAAAAGCTAATGAACACCCTGGAAAGGGGGTTTAACACCATCAGTCTTCGGGGAACTGCAGATCAAAGTAGCAGTGAGTCTCACCTCAGCTGTTATATTCTCCAGCAAAAGTCTACCTAGTTCCTCAAAGGCAGCTGCACACTGGGACCTTCCCTGGGAAACTTGGTGCTCAGATCCACTACAGCCTTTGGAGCTTGGCTAACATCCTTGTGACAGCAGAGACATGAGCTGCAGGTCTCCTTGTGGACACCAGGGGGCGTCAAGAAACCATATAATCAGCAGGGAACTTCCCTGAGACCTGAACATATCTTGCAGCCTTGTCTCCATCCCAGTTCCAACAGACCTGGAGCTCCCTCACATAATCATTTCCTGTGTCTCTGAGAACCCAACTCTACAAGGAGACCCTGTGTAGTCCGCTCCCCATCACAACACCCATGAGGAAAAACAGGGAGGTCACAGGGCAGTCACCAAGGAGAACAAAGGCATCCCAGAAGGGTCAGGGAGGTCATGGGCAAACCTGATTCACACTTAGCTAGCACAGAGAGCTGGGGGGAAGGGTGTCTCCCTGGGGCTCTCTATAGGGAGCTGGAGCAACAGTCCTCTTTCTAGGACACACAGGTCACCTCCTCCTGCACACAGGGATGTGAACCCCTGAGATAACTTGTATCAGACACGTGACTGCTGACAGCAATGACCATGGATCTTGTCCCTCCCCAGTCAACACACAGACCTTTTCCAGCCCCTATAGATAACTGCCACTACCTCCCTGGAGTAACTCCCACTTTCCCAGAGCACTGATATCACAGGGCAGACTGGGCTCTGCTGGATTTTTGTGTCACAAGGAAATACACTCTTGGCTATAGGAAGTGCAGGGAGAAGGCCCTGGGTGAGCTGCTGTTCTCTGGGGGCACAGGACACTTCCAAACCTTGTGGCTCAAAGTATGCTTTAGAACACAGAACCAGAAAGAAAGAAAGAAATACAAAAAGGGAGGCAGCACTGATACACAGACTCCACCCCCAGCCCATGTGACTCCTGGAGGCCTCCTCCTCTGGGAGGAGGCTCTGGAAGAAAAGCAGAGCAAACACCAGAGCAGCCAGGCTTGGCAGCAGCCTGACAGACAAACCTCCTGTCCAGAGGAAGAGCCTAGGCCACAGCAGAGACCATGGAGCTCTCCTCAGCCCTTCTCCACAAAGGGCAGCTACCCTGGAGGGGACTCCTGCTGACAGGTGAGGAGACATTCTTCAGGGGTGTGGACAGCAGTCGAGCTCAGAAACTGGATGGGGTCTTCTGGGAGGGGGACTTTGTCTGAGGAGACATCTGGTTTCTGCTTGAAGCCTGAGAGCAACAGGAAGCTCACAGTGAATGTGAATTGGTAAGTGGAGAGGAAAACTCAGGGGTTCCCTATTGTTAGTTTATCAGCACTGGCCTCTGTACCTTGAAGACTGACTTCCACAAATGTGTCAGGGTGACTCTCCAAGTAAAACTCAAACTGGGGCCAGTAAACAGGGTCATTTCATACATACGACCCTGAGGAATCCACAAATAAACCCCAGGCACTGGGACAGTGATTTGCTCACGGAGTCTGAGCCTATTCCAGGCAGTGAGGTTTAAATAAAAATCAAACCAGTTCTCCTCAAAGAGTCCTGGTGCTATGAAGCAGGAAGACAGAGCAGCAAGGACATCTAGAAGGTGGGGTTGTGGTTGACAAGGACTTCAGAAGAAACAGAGCTGGGAAGGTCAGAAAATAAAGGCTGGAATCTTTAGAGAAGGAGGTCAGAGAAGACATGCATACACTCACCGAAGATTCTGAGTGTGAGCAGGGATCTGAGGGAGTAAGGGGTTGGCTGTGCAGACACCCGAGAAAAGTTTCATTCAGTGGAAAGATTCAGGGGTACTGAGGAATTGGGGTGATGCTGCTGAGCTCCACCCAATAGGACACACACACCAAGGCTGAGCAGTTGAACACACCCAGGTCTCAATTTCTACCAAATGCAAAGATCTATTATTGATAGATTTTTCTCTCTTCCCTCTTAGCCTCACTTTTGATCTACTGGAGCTCTCCCACCACGGCCAACGTCACTGTGGAAGCAGTTCCGCCCCATGTTGCTGAAGGGGCAAATGTTCTTCTACTTGTCCACAATCTGACAGAGACACCCCGAGTCTTTTACTGGTACAAGGGAAAAAATATGGATAACAGTAACGAAATTGCACGATTTATACCGTCAGATAATGCAAATACAACAGGGCCTGCATACAGTGGCAGAGAGACAATATACCCCAATGGATCCCTGCTCTTCCAGAACGTCACTCAGAATGACACCGGAGCCTACACGTTGCGAATACTAATGCAAAGCTATGATGATACGAAAGTAACCGTGCAGTTCCATGTCCACCGTAAGTAATTCTCTGTAATCTCTGGGTCATGGGTGGACTTAATCCTACTTCACACATAGAATTGTCAGTGCTGGATGACTGTGTTATGGTCCCCACATTGTGGCTCAAGCCTTTAGTAAAGGACACAGAGTGGAGGAAACAGCAATAAATGAGGATCCCTCACTTGAATCCACCCTCAGAGAGAGGGGGTAAGGTAACTCAGCCCAGGCATCTCAGACTCTGCCCAGGGTCTTAGATACTCATCATGGCCTTGAGAAAGACCCTTCAGGACTCAGGCAGGGCCTGGATGAGAAAACCATAAAATTCTCACAGAGACATGAACACCTGAAGTTTGCTTGATATCTCCACCCCAGACTGGACCAAGAATTTTGGGAAGCTGTAGACTGGGCTGTAATTTGACCTCCTGTTGGAACTGACAGGGGACAATGATTGATTGTTGGCTGGTAGTCTGCTGACCGTCAGCCTGTGAGAGCCATGTCTGAGACAGATCACGTGGGCATCTCCTCCTGAGACTCAGTGTGCTCAGCATAGGTGGACGGTTATGAAAGACAACCAGCCAGCTGTCCTGATGGTCTTCTGAGTCCTCGCAGGAAGGTGGAGAGCCCTAAAGAGATGGTAGAAAAGTGTACAAATGGCAGCTCCTTGCCTCTGGGGGTCCAGACCTGAGTTTATTTCCTGCAGGCAAACAGTAAGAGACACTGCTTGGTGGAAGGTCAGGTCATTGCTCACCTTTCAGGTGAACTTGTACGCATGGCAACAATCATTGTCCTATTCTAGGGAAACTGAGACAGGAAACAGTCACTGAGTCAGGGTCACACAGGCCATGGGTGGCACAAGCTATCTGTCCACAGCCACATCTCCAGCCTCCCCACCATGGAGATTCTATTAGGTGCCCCTGAGTCTTATAGATCATTTCCTATACTTGGGCTTCTTGTAGGGATTCCTGATTCATGTCAATCTAAATCAAACTCCACACACCTGACAAGAATGGCCCAGCTGAAGCCCATCCTGAACTGAATGGCAGCCAGATCCTGATCTGTGTGGGATCTCTGACAGGCTGTCAGGTTCTCAGGGAAGCTCAATGGGAAGACTAATCATGACGGATGTGTAGGAGAGCCCTGAGCAGCAAAGGCTTGGAGGGCGCTGGTCCTCACTGAGCAGTGGACGTCAGGGCAGCTGGAGGGGCTAGCACATTGTGTCCCAAGACATGCAATAGATCAGTGAGGGCAAGGAGATAACATGAGGTCTCTGATTCCAAGTCTCAAGTCTGTCCATCACCACACACTGCAGCTCAATTCCCTCCTGGGAAAGCCCTTGCTCCTCCCATACACAGCACAGGAGGCCCCACAGTCTCTGAGTGCTCAGGTACTCCATCTGCTTATAATTTGCTTCCTCCCTGATTCTTTGAGGATATGGGTTGGAGGGGAGATCTCTGTTGAAAGAGGCCCTTGCAAGAATCAGAGGCACCACACAAGGCAACCTTCTCTCTGTTGTCCGCACACACAGCACTGCTACCCAAGCCCAGCATCACAAGCAACAATTCCAATCCCATGGAGGGTGACGACTCAGTAGCATTAATGTGTGAGCCTGAGACTGAGAATACAAGCTACCTGTGGAGGAGAAATGGCCAAAGCCTCTCAGAAGGTGACAGGCTGAAGCTGTCTGAGGACAACAGGACTCTCACTTTACTCAGTGTTGTGAGGAAGGACACAGGAGATTATGAGTGTGAAACCCGGAACCCAGTGAGCACCTCCCGAAGTTATCCATTCCATCTGGAAATTACCTGTGAGTATTATCTGTTT